ATGAGAGCAGGTTCGAAATCAGGTTCTGAGCTCGTACGGTCGCACACGTTATCCTCACGACTGGTCACCTCTACCTGTAGCCTTCCCTGCTGACAGAGAAAAGTTAAGGTCAAGGAGTTAAATATAATGTCTTTTACGTGAGATAATGCAAGACTACCAGAGGAAAATGGGATCTTCCCAATGGTAACAAAATTTCAGGCATAAAAGAACTGAACTAACCAGTCATTATCAAAGCATTCTTTGAATCATTACCCCACATTTCCAACAAATGTGGCGCATCACCTATGCGAAGAGAAGGATGACCAGTTAGTACCTCAAAATGCGCTTTTCAGATAAGATTGAGCTGTAACTATTCAACAAACAAAACTGATTACTTACCACACAAGGAGTTTTATACTCTCTGCAGAACGACTCGTAGATGTTGTCGTATAGTTTAAGTCTTCCATTGCGCACCAACTGAAAAATGCAAAGGAAGTCAGCACATATGTTTTTTCCACGCTTTCTTGAATCACTGAGAGGCACCGTAGAGCATCTTCCTTAAGCCCATAATAAACCAAGTGCCATGGCTTGCACAAGTTACCAAAGTAGTGGTAGTGCTTCTTAAATGACATTTGATTCAAAAATAGTAATGACAAGACACAATGTACAACCCACATCTATAGAAGAAGAACACCTTCTAGGAAAAAAATACAGTTGAATCTCAAGAAACTATTATTTTCGACTGGTGGCCCAAACTCGTTCAATCTCCTTTCTCGTGTTGTGTTCACCTATGAACCCCTGAACCAAATGAAACCAGGATTCAGCAATTCGGTGCGCAAGTGCGCCGCCTACACACCAACTATTAAATTCGACGCTCGTCCTGCGAAATTGCTTCCTACACACCACATTATATTCGCAAAACGATTCAGATCGAGGAGCAACACAAGTGTTCAACGAGACTGTCAAACGAACCGCGGTATGACAAAATGGTTCCTCCGGAACATACACAGCGTTTTGGCGTGATTCAGCGAGCCATTCAGCGTTGACATTCGAGTAGGCCAAAGCTCCTTTTGCGACTGGAGAAATGAAATATATCCGAGCTTCCAACGTAGCACCACCCTGAAAAACGAGAACACCTCCAGTGAGTTAATCATTTTCAAAGTCGACATGCAAGCAAAGAATGGAGCTGCTTGATGGTTATGTAGGCGATAGAAGCCGGTAAGTGCAAAAGAAAAAGTTATGTAAATTGAAGTACTCACCGCATTATCTATACTCCTAGAAACAACATCAATCAAGTCATAGATGGAACCAACAGGATTCACAGGCATCAACACATTGCCACCCCTTTTCAACGTGTCCATGACAGTTTGAGCTACTTCGATTATTGCACCCTGGAAATAAGGTCGTAATTTCTCAAATGTAAAAAGAATAAAGCTTCCTTCGCTGATATCTCTCATTTCGGGATGCGGCACGCATTCTTCTTCCTCTCAGTAGTGGCTTATTGACTGCGATGTGGCTTTACAATGAGTTGCGGGGACAGGCGATGAACATGTTAGCGTTTGCCCTTCCAAACGAATGTGGAACTAGTTTGAAACCTCGGAGGCTGGAAAGGTGGGCTAGCCTCAGCTTAAGCCGAGCCGGGACCTACTCCCTGAATCTCGCAAGTTATAAGCGTGCCATTGCATTGCAATTGCCGCACTTCTATTTTCGGGGAGAGGAAGTCTCCGCCTTGGGGAGATCCCAACGATGAAGTGCTCTGAAGATGTCCATAACATGCTTTCGCTCTGTGCTAGTAGGGAATGCCAACGGTACAATAATACTTTGAAAAAAATCCTCCTTCTCGGGATAAGATAAATACCTCAGAGCTGAAATCTGGAGTTCTACTCAATGATGTCATAATAAGCGCATCAGCATCTTGTAGCTTCTCCCACTCAACTGGACGCGCGTGTGTTGAACGAATCGATGAAGATGCAAGATATCCTACCTAAAATAAGAAAATTCCGTTAAGAACATACATGTGAATCTGATGATCATAGAGGTTACTGATTAGAAAATGTTAAAGCTACCCGCTCATACTCAGTCTTGAAAACCCAGTTGGATGATCCTATCGAGTAGCCGCTCGGACAAGCAATCACCGAAATACTGCCTTCCAGATCCTGAAAAAGCACTGATCAAGGTTGATCAAATAACCCCTTCAATAGAAGGTTGAACATGGCAGTGATATTGCGCAACAATGTTTGCGAGAACGAGAATAGAAAACACATCTAAGCCTGCAAGTACTTACAACGGTCTGATTGAAGGAGACTGTGGTAATTCTAGCCAGAGCCTGCTCCATTGTATGTTTTGAGTAGAAGGGCTTCCATTCAAGAGGGTTTCGATTAAACGCATTCGGGAAAGTACTGTAAAAGAATCACCTA